TTTAATTTTTTTGATAAAAATTTCAATTTTTTATTAACAAAAAACATAAACAAAATAAAAAATCTCAGTATTTCGTAAATAACTCAATAACTATAGGTGATATCAAAAATCGGAAAAAAGATCTTCAAAGAAGAAGAAATTTCTGAAAAATACTTTTGACTTATTCCGGAACTCTAGCTTCGAGAACAATAATTTTTATTTAATGTTGAAAACAGGGTTCTGCACGACTGCTGTCGTATTTTGGCATCGGCGCGGTCATGTGACAGAAGTATTGTTTCTTTTTTATTAACTTTTTAAAAAAATTAGTAATAAATCATTTATTTAATAATAAATTTTTCATAAAAATTATTTAAAATTTTTCATAAATCTTCAATAAAAAAAAAGTCAAATCATGAAAATAAAAAAATTTTCTTTTGCCCAGCACTGTTATTTACTAATACTAATTCCAGACTACAGAGTATTAGTATAGACCAGTTGCAGTCTACGGATATACTTCCTAATATAAATAGTGAAATCGTGCTTGGTCGCCTAACAAGTAAGTATAAGAGCTACCCGCAAACTCTGTCGGCAAACAGAGCTCGTAAATAACACCAGAGGGGGGTCTCCGTATTTCTCTCAGTAGTCTGCCGTTCACAGCTTTACTGAAAGTTATTTTTTGTATTATCTATCCGACTATGTGTATAATACATCTCAATGGTTAAATGTCCCTTTACCTTTTATTGTTACTCAGTGTCGCGGCATAGCTTACGACAGACACGCCAAATTAGATTCGCTCAATATACACACGGACACACTGAAAACATCTACACCTACATCTACTCTTACACATTTATTTCTCTTTTTAGTTGTGTTGGTTTGGGGATAATCAATTTTCATACTTACTATACTAACTATGGGCGGTTTGTGTACATCTTCCAAGGAACGGATTTTCATTATCACACTTTTAAGTAAATAATAAATCTTTGTTATTATTATAATAATTGGACAGAAGCGAAAAAATATTTTGAGAGGTTTCGGTATGGATTAATAGCTTAATGGAGGCTTCAACTATTCTCAACATTATATCGTAAATATTTTCTGAATTATTGTAATCATTTCTTCATGCCCTCCTCAAACCTTTGAAAATCCGTTGTGGACCATATGTATATACAGAAAAAAAAATTTTTTTTTATTATCGCATCTATAGAAGCTAATTTTCCATTCAATGTTTCTTTCGATAATGTTTCTTTTAATAATGTTTCTTATTATCCTGAAAATTAATTGGAACAAAATTAAAAAAGATGACTGCGATTTGAAAAAAAAAATCAACTGAATTTAAATTGTTTGAGCGACTATTTTTGAGCATAATTATGAGTTTCAATACGACAATGTGATTAAAATTGATGCATTAAACGATTTTTTTTTGTATCAAAATAGTTAAACTTAAAAAAATTAATTTAATTAATTAATGGAAATATTTTTTTCCTCAAATTCGATAATTTTTAATTTTTTATATAACTTTAGATTGCTTCTATGAAATGTAAAGAAAGACAGCACAGCAGAAATTTTTTTCCGAAAATATAAAGCGTATTCAGTTTTAAAAACAAAATGTTTTTTTAATTGAAATCTTATAATTTATAAAAATAGAATAATCCCAATTGTAAATAATTAATTAATACCTTTTTATCAATTAATTAGACGATGATTCATTTGTTAATTTTAATAAATAATAGAATAAATATTTTAAATATTCAAAAATTTTTTCTCATATTATTGAATTTAAAATGACAATCCATAAAAATAAAATTCCATAGTAGTTGAAAAATCATTTTTTCCCAAACTGTAATAAAGTCAATTGGTTTTGAAAAACCTAAAAGTGATCTTAGAAAAAAAATTTTTTTTTGCGATTTTTATTTTCCAAATAACTCGACTCAAAAATCAAGATGAAAGTACTAAAAATGTCCAATTTTTCAAAATTCCGAAAGTGGGATATAATAAAGGATTTATATTTATACAGACATTACAAAAATCAGTTTTACTCGACACAGATATGTTTATTCAGAATAATCATTGAAAATGAATGCTTAGACCTTGAAACGCCATCTGTTGAGAACTCACGATCTTAAAAATCAATCCAAAACCCATAAACTTGTCCATGATTTCAAACTTTTAATTTCAATTCAAAAAATGGAAAAAAAGTTTATTTATAATCCGAGTAGAGATAAAAAAATCGGCATTGTAAGTGATAAACTGTGAGCTATTCACTCAAATGAATTTATGAGCATTGTGATTTGTGACAACAGATAAACTGTTATTTTCTGTCCATCAGATTAAACACTATTGATTTTATTTCTGTCTGCAAAACGATTTAAAACTATAATTCTGGATAGTAACCAATGCATTGACCCTATGAGATTTAAAATGGCCATATGGACGTATCCTTTTTATTTGCGGGGGTGGAAAATTTCATGGCTCGAGATTTAATGGCCTCTTTGATTTTTTTCACCCCAATACATTATTGGAAGTATAAAACCACACTGACCAATGACCAGTAATCAATGACAACACAATCAATAGAGAGGAAATTTTCCCACCTAATTTATCCTGTTATTCTGTTATTAATATTATTAATTGTCGAATGTGGTGTGAACGCGTTTGATATTGCTGTAGAGTAAATTCACGATTCTCGGATGTATTTATAAAAGGTTTGAATTTTTGTTTTCCCCGAAGAAATCTCGTCGTTTATTCCAGGACAGAGTGACAATAAATCCCGACTCGATAGATTCGTTCAAAAAAAAGTAGAACGTCGTCGTAGGCGAGCGCAATCTCCTGGCGAATTAAACGCCATAAATAAGCTGGACCCGGGCAATAATTCCGTCTCGATTGATGGCATCAATTGGGCTTGATAGAGACCTCGAACACATCGATGAGGTATATTCCTTGAGGATTGAAAGGTGTGCGAAGTGACGTGTGTGGAAAATTGCGAAAAGATGTTGAGTGGTTTTTATTCTTTACTTTTTTTATTAAACATATATATGACTGCCGATAATTCAAAGTTTTATTGAAAAAAACTCGAGCTTGATATTTTTTCATCGTTTTATTCAAAATATACATAAATTGGATACTTTTGAAATGAAATTAAAGAATAATGTTGCTGTGATAGGATTCATTACCAATAATTTAATGGAATTAATTATGGAACCAGCTTATAAAATAAAAAAATTTTACAAAGCTTGTCCAAAAAATAAAAATAAAAAATTGTCTATCTCCAAAAATATTTATAAAGTTTTGAAAAGGAACAATTTCAAATCCAGACCTATCTGAACATCTGTAAAACTAGAACTGTGAAATTATTATTGCAAACAAAGCCAAATAGGCAGAGTCGCTAAAACTTTGGCTAATAATTTAGTGATCATTAAGTGCTGAAAAATAGAATTTGACGCTCCAGGAGATGATCAAAATATTAGCTAAAATAAAAGCGATTCTATCTACTTAGCTCCTTATCTTCTCTTAATTATTAAGATGATAAATTGGCTATCGCTGAAAAAAATATCAAACCGTGCCAAAACATGAATTCTGATGGTACCAAATTTTACTATAGAAACCCGTTTCATAATTAAGACATGCCCGTCACAAAATTTTCCTTATTCTCATAATTACATTGATTAATATTCACTAGACTGTAAAAAATTTTTAGAGTGAATGCGGAGTGGATTATTTTCAATTTATTTACTCCTTCTTTCGGGACGGATTTAAATCATATTATTAATAGATTTCACTCCGCGGAGTACATTTTTTATTTTTTAATAAAAATAAAAAAATAGTTGTGACTCGTTTGAAAATTATAAAATGGGTATTTAGAGATTTTTAAAATTACAATTAATAAACCGTTTTTTAATTTCTGTCAAAATACGAATTTTAAATATTTTTTTTTTCAAAATTCTAATTTTTTCAAGAACTTTTTTTTCTAATTTAATTTTTTTTTTGAATTCGGATTATTAAACATAATTGTTTCTTACTAATTGAAAAAAGTTTTTTCTGGAAATTAAATATGAAAATTTATGTTAAATTTTTAATTTTTACCAAATTTTGATTTTTTTCATTTTTGATTCTTTTCTATTTTCTATATTTCACAAATATATGTATAAAATGAATAAATGATACGGGTACTCAAATAAAAGGTTTCGATGAGTGTGACATCGGAATAAGCTTATATCATATAGATAATGTCAATAATTTAGAAATGACATTCAATCTTGTTATCTAATGATATTTTTAATGATATAAGATCATCCCCACATTACACTTATCAAGACCTTTTATTTGAGTACGCACATGAATTTTTTACATATTTTATATATTGTATATACGCAAATATTGTTTATATATACATATACATTTATTTATTTATTTTATACCGACGAAAAAAAATTATTTAGCACATAAAACTTTTTTCAGTTACATAAAAATTTATTATAGTATAAGAACTTTGTATTTGGATGTTTTCCGGATTACAATTCAGATTCGCTCCGAACGCGGAGTGTTGAATTACTTCTCTCCGGTACTCCGAGTGATGGGAGTGAATGCAGAGTACAATTCACGCCCGATTTTTATAGTGCATATAACCACATTCATATGTTTAAAACAACATAAATAAACAAATAAACACACTTAGTCCAGAGCGAAATTCGAATCTATTACTACTATTATTAAAAGTGAATAATTTAAATATTTAAAAAATTTATTTATTTAAAATAATTTTTATTAATACAGGAATAACAACTTATTATTGTTACTATATACATGACGCACATATCACAATTAAATACTTTACATAATAAAATTATCAGATATTGCTATTATTATTTAGTGAAACGTTAAAAAAAAACAAAAAAAAAATAGTTTCATTTTTTTTCATGTGCTTATTTAAGAACTAATTAATAAATATTTATTCAAAGAATGTATTTATAAGAATACTTATAACATAAAAACAATAATGTTTTTTTTTTTTTCGTTATGAAAAACCAAGTTTTTAATAGAAATTACGAATTAATGACATAAGTTATCCAATCGACTGTCTTAGCAACACGATGGTATATACCCGGCTGTCCTGATTGAGCGCATGAGTAACCAGCGGAAACTATGCCGATAAGATACCATCTGCCGGTTTTTTCAAGCATCAAAGGACCTCCACTGTCACCCTGTAAGAATTCGTATTGTTCAGCATCTAACAATTATATATTCCTCCATAATCAATAAGTAGCAAACTGATACGTCTATGACGCATATTGATAAAATCTGTTAAATTTCTATTTTCCCAGGTAGCACAGGTTGACCATCAACTAAGTTGATGTTCAATGGTTTACGTCAACTTTACGTCAACTTCGCGTCAACCTCTGCATTTGCAACAGTTTTCTAGAACTTGACTTTAACTTATAGTCAGCGTAAATCTACTGCCGGAATTTTCCGAAAAGTTCGCTCATCGTCAACGCGAAGTTGCAGAAAGTTAACGTTAACTTCACGTCAACAGTTATAAGTACAATTGTTGCTCTATTATTAACGTAAACTTTATGTCAAATTCCGGCCGCAGGTTTATGCGAACTTCGTTTCGTTTGTGCTAACTGGGTTGTCACTAAAATGTCAGTAACCCTGATAGCCACCTTAACTGAAACTTGCCGTCAATCTACTGCCGCAATTTGAAGCCAACTTGACGGAATGAGTTAGGAAAGCAAGCGGTTTCAGTTGAGTTGCCTATAAGTTACTCTGCGATTTGACATCAAGACTTGCTGTGCAAGTATTTCAGTCAAGTTGTAGTCAAGTTGAAAGGAAATTTAACTACAAGTTTAATTGTTAAGTATTCAAATCGCGGCCATAGATTTTCGTCAATTTGCTTACAACTGTTATTCAGTGAAGAATTACCGCTAACTTAATGTTAAATTAACTGTAACTGCTGAAAGTCAACTACTTTTTGAGAAAGCGTTGGCTATCAGGGTAAGTAAGACAAAACATCAAACATTAGTGTCGATTTGTATACAAACCGACACAATGCCTGGCTTCTCAAATTTTGACAATAGATTGACGTCAATCTGACAGAAATATTTGAAGTGATAATCCAGTTAGCACGAGTTGACAATCGACTAGTTGATGTTCAATAGCTTTACCTCAATGTTACGTTAGCTTCGCGTCAACTTTTGCATTTGCAACAGTTTCACGGAACTTGACTTTAACTTACGCATAAAGTTAGCGTAAACCTACTGCCGGAATTGATCGAAAGGTTTGCATCAAAGTTAACGCGAAATTTGCGGAAAGTTATAAGTACAACTGTTGCCTTACTGTTAGCGTAAACTTTACGTCAAATTCCGGCTGCAGGTTTACGTGAACTTCATTTCATTTGTGCTAACTGGGATAAAGTTTGCAGGGGTAGCAATTTGTTAGCAAATTTTGATATTACCTGACATGAATCTTTCCCTCCTCCACGGTATCCTGCACACATCATTTCATCGTAAATGACAACATTAATACCATTGGAACGATGCCATCGCTCGCAGACTCTGTTATCGATGACTGGAACGTCTACAGACTGCAAAGTCTTGGGTCTTAATCTCGATCCTGAAATGTAAACGATTATAGTTATGATGATAGTAGAGAAAATTTATCACTAATTATGATAAGCACCATCTTACAAAATAAATAGGATAATTATACTTTTAAAATGGTCTTTGGAAAGTTAATTGCATTTTTCCTACTCTTATATTAGAATAATAAATAACATTCAGTTAATTGGTTGAAAGTTACAGTTGTATTAATAATTAGATAATTTTTACAGCAGTTTTATTGGGTAGTTTTTATTAATTAATTTAAGATTATAACGAGGCTCAGCCTTGGAGCAACCATGGAGAAAATGAAGTGACCAAATTTTCCAAAATTGAAAAATTATTGTTTTTTAGTCGATTTTTAGAAATACAATTTCATCAAACAATCTATTATAATTTTTGAAAAAATTGGCTGATCCAAATGCGCTTTGCTAGATTCTAAAAAGGTTAGCTGAATTTCAGATTTTTTTCTAAATTTTAACCATTCCAACTCGGTAGATTGCGAGAGTTCTAAAAAATACAAATGTAAGAAAAAATCTACGTTGAAATTACTTTTAGATAACTGGTATCAATTCATTTCAAAATATGATTAACTTAAATAAAAACTTTGAATATGTAACAAAACGCATCCAAATTAGTTGATATGTTCAAAAGATATCGCTGGAGGAACTTTTTCGAAATGATTTCCAAAATTTTAGTTAGATTGAATTTTTGAATTCTATCACTTTTTCCGTACTTAAGGGGTTTTGCAACAAAATCGAGGGTATTACCAAAAATTTAAATTTTCGTTTATCAATTAATACATAACTGCTGAATATATTTCCATTAAAAAAAATTTGAAAAACGGTTCACCCTAAAGGCCATCCCTGCAACTTCCCGCTAATTCTATACTTAAACGCTTGAAATTGCACTTATGACGTTTTAGAGCTCTTCGAGCTCATAAATACAATTTGTGTATTATTTTGAGCTCTCTGAACTCAAAAAAATAGCTTTTGTATGCTTTTGAGCTCTTCGAGCTCAAAAGTTTGATAGACATTTGATAAAACACTATTTTTTTAATTTTCAAATCGCAATAACTTTTGAATGAATGAACCGATTTTCACGCGGTTGGCGGCATTCGGCGCAGTTTTTTAAGCTTCATAAAAAATCTTTGAGTTTATATCGACAGAGTGGAAAAATTCGGAGTAATTCCGAAAAAACGCTTTTTTCGGTTTTCTTTCGTCAACGATAACTCACGAACGAATTAACCGATTTTGACCGGACTGGCGGCGATCGACGTGTTTTTTTGATGTTAAGAGCTGATTAGTTTTTGAAATTGATCGATAAAGCCGTTTAAAAGTTATTTAAAAAAAAAAACCACTTTTGAAAAAATTTTTTTTTGTGGTTTTTTTGCGATTTCTCAAAATCTACTGGTCCGAATTGGTCCAAAGTGTATTGGAAATCTAAATTTGGTCAAGCCCTTTCGAATGGTACCAACCGCGATGAAATCGGTCAAGCCGTTTAAAAGTTATAAGAGGGTCACATACACACACACACACACACACACACACACACACACACACACACACACACACACACACACACACACGCAGGGGGGCGTCAGCGTCAAGTTTTTAGTATGACGCTGCGTCGAGTCGCCACATATCCGGGCCAACATCTATGCCTAGAATCCGTAAAAAGGATTCCCCCCCCCCCTAAAGGGAAAAAAAAATAAAAACACACACACACACACACACACACACACACACACACACACACACACACACACACACATACACACATAGAACGGAACAAAGACAGCACAGCATTGCACGATGGCAATCTCAGTGGGATGTCGCAGAGAAGGGTAGATGGACGCATTGTCTCATACCAAAGATCGACATTTGGCTAAACCGGAATCGCGGTGAGGTCAACTACTACCTAACATAGATGTTGTCAGGACATGGCTGCTTTCGGGTTTATCTTCACCGCTTTAGGCATGACGACTCTCTGGAGTGCCCGTCCTGCCCTGGAGCCACTGAAGATGTAGAGCACGTTTTTTTCGAGTGCTCGCCTTTCAATCAACATCGTGAGGAGCTGGAGAGGATCCTGAAGAAGAGAATTCAAGCAGAGTCAGTCGTAGAAGCAATGCTGTCTTCAGAAGCTGCCTGGAACGCAATGAACACTTTTGCCACAGAAGTGCTAACAGAGCTGCGTTCCGTCGAGAGAAAAAGAGCAAAAGACAGAATCTAGAATGAAGATAACATCTTAGCCACTAGAAGGAAGAGCGGCAGCTAATTCCTCCCCCTGCGAAGAAATGCCTTACGGCGGTACCATGGGGGATGAGAGGATAGAAGAGAAAGGGGTTTAGGGTTTGGTGGGTAGGGGCGTCAGCGTCAAGTTTTAGTATGATGCTGCGTCGAGTCGCCACATATCCGGGCCAACATCTATGCCTAGAATCCGTAAAAAGGATTCCCCCCCCCCAAAAAAAAAAAAAAAAAACACACACACACACACACACACACATACATGCATGCATACATACATACATACAGACATACAGACACCACCGCGGGGGTAGTCAGAGAAGCTTCCTATGACCTTAAAACGTCGAGATCTGATGAAAACTCGATTTTTGCAAAACGGGGTGAAAACAATAACTTCCCGATTTTTGAAAATCTGAGATTTCTAGCGGGAAGTTAAAAAAAATATCAAATGTACAAATATTCGTCAAACTTTTGATTTTGAAACTTCTGTTTTATTCATTCACAAAAAAACTGACTTGATTCAAAAGAAATAATCTTGAACCAAAAATATCATTTTGACGAATTTGATCATCTTAAATTAAACATAAAATTCTTGAACTCAAAAATTTTTCTTTATTCACGACTTTTTCTCTTGATTGAAATTATTTTGTTGTAAGCGTAAAACTAAGGGTAATCAGATTGTTCAGTTATTTAATCTTAACATAAATTATTAATAAAACAATTATGAATTACTTACCAGCTTGCAAAGCGCCCCATCCAGCGGCCCATCCATATTGCCCCAGAAAATCTTCATTTTTTTCCGGTAAACAAATTGGAGAAATATGCGGCATGTAATGAACCGGACGATCCAATCTCAAAACAGCTACATCAAATCGGTCAGCCTGGGGCGTGAATTTGAAATAAGGGTGCACTCGAATTTCTCTAACTCCGAAAGTATAAGCTGGTAAATTTTCAGTTGCTGAATTGACCACGTAGTCACCCAAAGTGACTTGTACTTGCCTTGCAGACGCCCTAAAGCACAGGAAGAAAACTTAAAATTATATAGCCTTTACAATTACATAATGGGTAAGACAGAGCCATATGGTACTCATGGTTAATAATGGCTCTTATTTTGACCATGACTATTGATAGTTTACTTAGCAACACAATGACCGGCTGTGACAACGTGGTAACGGTTAACTAACGTCCCTCCACATCTACTTGACCCGATCCGTATGTAAGCCTAAAGTTTAAATTATAAGTGTAATTAAAGTTCGAGGTCAGTTACATACTTGTAAATAAATTAGTGTTTAGAGAAATTTTTGTAATTGTTTAATACCTGCCAAGGAAAACTCCCGAATCCTGCGTCATCACCTCCAACGATTCGTCTTTGAGCTGTTTGTTTGCTTGATGAAATCCCGCATTCTAGAAAAGATAATTGGATGTAATAAGTGTTATTATGGGAATTTTCTTTTTCTCATATGGTGTAAGGTGAAAAATCCAATTACTAAACATGTCGCAACAGATTACAGATTACGTATTACTCATTTTAATTATTTAATAATAAAATTCCTAAAAGATTAAACAAATTGTACAATTTTTATATTTGTTAAATGGTTCTGTAGTGGTTCTTTGGTTATAGAAACCAAGGTTAAATGGTTCTATAGAAGCGTTCCACATTTTTTAACAAATATAAATAATGCTGTGAAGCGGGAAAGAATAGAAGTTACGGATAATTATTACGTGAAGCGTAATATGTATGATTATATATAATCTTGCATGGCTGTGTATAGCTCCATATATAGTTATGTATAATTATATATGATTATATATAATTTTATATAATTATATATGTGATTCCATATATAATTATATATAATCATATATGATTATATACAATTATATATAATTATATAGAAAAATTTTTTCTCGGGTAGTATATGAAACTATATATAACTGTAGGGTCTGGAAAACAATTTTTAACCCGTCAGCACTCACATGAACTTTTCGGTAATCTTTACTCTCGTGATGAGAGATTTGCTCACGTTTAAGGTAGTTGTAGCGTGAAAGCCATTTCAACAGAAAATTATGAAATTTTTTTTATTGAAAGATAAATATATTAATAATTCACTACCAAAATTTCAGATCAATTTACCGCACTGTTTTTGAGTAATTAATTTTTGAAATTGCATTTTTTACAAGCTAGCATTTTTAACAAATATAAAGTTAGTATGAAATCTTTGGCCCACTCGAGTGGTACGGAAGATTTCATACTAACTTTACCATCTCTCTATACCTCTACGTGTAAAAGATGCGATTTCGAAAATTAATTACTCGAAAACAGTGCGGTCAATTGATCTGAAATTTTGATAGTGAATTATTAATATATTTATCTTTCGATAAAAAAAATTTCATAACTTTCTGTTGAAATGCCTTTCACGCTACAACTACCTTAAGATTTAATGCACTAATTTACTTTCAATCACCTATCTGTGAAACTATTCAAACAAATTATCAATTTTTTCTTCGAAATTGAAGTTCAATAGATCGAACATAATGAAGAAAAAAAATCATAGATTCTCATAAAATACTTGAAAATATTGACAAATGCTCATGTATTTTATCTATACAAGGACTCATAGATTTTATAAGTGTATTGTCACTTTTTCCAGTAGGGTTCGGAAAGAATTTAATGCTTCATAAAAAACTTGGCTAATTTAATGATTCATTAAATATTTAACCCCAGACAGAAAAACATCTAAACGGTATTCCTCTAACAGCAATGATGGTAAAAAGATAGTACAATTTAATTTGTACCTATCTTTTTGTATCAAGAAAAAAATTTGAAAAGCGATTGACCCTAAAGGCCACTCGTGAAACTTTTCGTTCCATTTAAGCTTGGACCGCTCAAAAATATTCAAAGTGGTTGATTTTTGAACTTTTTGAATTTCGTTGAAAAAGTAAAGTTGTTTTAATTTTTTGTGATTCGTAACTAATTTTTGGAATAAAAAGAAAAAATTTTTTTTAATCAAGTTCTTTTTTTAGTGTATGCAATCATAGAGTTGGATTTTCCACCTTATAGAGTTCATTAGACTTGGAGTAATTTTACAAAAGTAAAAAATTTCAAAACTAAATATAAGAAAACAATGCGAGCATGCGATTCAGCCAAATGTATACATGCAGATGGTAAAAAATAAATAATAAGTAAATTGCATGCAGACAATTGGCAACTTACGATGATTGTCACTGACATGGTCGAAGTTCGTACTGTCCGGCTTAGCAAGCTGGGGATGTAATAATTGCTCTCTAGGCGTTTCAATAAGATTATAATCACCGGCAATAGCTTTAGCGTCTTTACGTTGACAACAAGCGTACATAATACCACCACAACTGCCATCCAGTAGCCCAGATGTCATCCAACACTTAAGAAAAAATTCGCAGCTTCGTCCGTCCGAGCACAAACTTTCGTCACCTTCCCATGTTGGTTTTTTTTCGGTCCGCGATTTCTCTGTACACATAATGGTATTTCTGTTCACATATAAACTGACACATGAATCAGCGATTGTCTGTTTGTTTTAATTTTTAATATGTCATTGTCGAATTTAGTAAATTACTCCAAGTCAATGAAACATTTGTCATGTAAGAAATAACTTAATTATTAAAGTGTCGAAAAATTTTATTGTCCTAAAAACCTTTACTCGTTGTGCGTATAACAAAAAAAATTATAATAATAATAACAGGTTAAATTCTTCAAAGATTATCAACGAGGTTAGTCAGCGTGACGTTATATTGTAGCCTCTTATTATCAGTTAGTTTCATCATGTTCTAACATCCGTTTTTTTAAGACAATATATTTCTTCGAGAAAGCTTTTCTACTGCGTTATTAGTTAGTATAATTATTGTAAGTAGACAGAGGATTAAATGGGCATTGTCATGAATATTTATTATGTTTTTTAGGTACTCCTTTGTTAGATTCATTGAAAGACGAAAATCAACATTTTTGCTGAATTCCATGCTCATGAAAGAATTCATTAATCGTTAATAAACTTATTTGTCTGCAACCAATTCATTTATTTATTAAATATAACTACTTGTTTCTTAACTTTTAATAAATATTTTTTTGAAAGAAAAGTACAATTATTAATAGTTAATACATATATTTACTAAATGAGCTAATGTTATAAAATCATTTATTAACAATCCTTCTATCAGTACATTATTTTAATTAAATTTTTGAAAGCGTTGTCAATCTAAAAAGATGAAATATTAAAAATCTATCAAAAATTTAAAACAATGTTCTATATACTATATCCGAAATTCCGTATCAGTTAATCGAAAAGTCATAGTTTTAAGGTCAACAGTCTTCTTTCTCATCGGTAGTTTAAGAATCTAATGACCCTGAAATGTCATAACTCTTAACTGAACTCGGAAACAAATTAAAATGAGTGAGTTGAAAAAAAGTATGTAGCCCGAAATAAAAAGATTGAAGGTCACTGGGAGAAGAATTACTGCAACATTTTAATAATATGACATGGTATAAGTATTTTAAATATATTAAAATGGGAATATGTAATTATGAAGGATAAAATTGTAATTTAATCTTTCGTGTCAGGAACTAATAAATTTTATCATTAATGGAAAAGAAAACTCCTTGTAGCATTTGAAAAGTCAATTAAAGTGTATTGAAAGTGCGGTATATCATAATTTTCTATTAAATGAATAGATCAATTTTGATTTGAATTGAATAGTAGAGCAAAAGGTTTGATATAATAATAAGTAATAAATCATTCAAATGTATTATTTTAATCCACGTTTTTTGAATCAATATCCCTAAAAAACATGTTTTTTTCCAAAAATTATGGAGAAAATTCTAGGTAATTTATTGGAGATTCTGGAAGAGCTCTTGAATTTTTTGTTCTCCTATTAGTTGTTGAGGTAGTGATTAAAGACATAAAGGTCCTTTTTCATTTCAAATCGGATATCAAGACAAGTGACGTTGAAATTTAATTAAAAAGGAAATTAAAGTTGGAAAAACAGGGTATTCAGTCTAAATGGCTTAGTGGGAAAACATTATTCCAAGTAAACCAAAAAGGACAATGAAAAAAGTTTACTAAATTTTTTTTTGCCATATTTTTTGACATTATGCGAGAACTGTGACACTTAAAAATTTTTTACTGAAAGTTTTGAACACGAGATTCTTACAGTTTTAATGCTCTTTTTTTTTTATTTCGATATGACTATTTTTGACTTAAATATAGTCCGTTAAAAAATCACTGAAAAATGTAGAAATTATTTCTTGATCCCTTAAATTTCTTAAGGAGTGTATTAGGAAAGGAAATATTCCTTATTTATTGTATTAAAATTATCGCAATGCCCATTGTAGCTTCCTCTCTCTTTTTACATTGATGTAAATTCAGGAAAATGTTAGTGACAGAAACACAAGCAAAAATTCGAAAACAAAATTTAATGTTAAAATAAAAAAAAAACACAAGTATTTGTAAAGGTCATACCAGTTTCAAGTTTGGGATAATCTGTAAAAATTTGTTTCCGCTGATCTGAAACAATTTAATTATTTATGCATAATGATAATGATGATAATTACTAATCGATTGTTTGTTGATAAGCATAAAATAAAATACCTCGGAATTCGTCATCAGTTTCAGGAGACAGCTGATTAGTTTGAAAAAAAGATGATCCGGCTCCGCTGGCAGGAAACGTTGGAAAGTCATCACGGAATATTAACCTGGGTGTTCTATGGGCTAAAACAGGTCTCGGTGGAAAGTTTTCAATGGGCGATCGCCAAAATGATGATTTTGCCTGGCGCCAGCTCGATGGCGCTGGTTGAAACGGTAGTACTGGAGAAAATCTCGCTATTGGATAACCAATCCTTGCACTAACTCCTGGTGGGTTATTGTCGAATACATAATTCCCAGGTGGATATCTCACCAGCCGTTTTCTTCTTGTCGAAAAATTTAGGACACTGTGGGTGCGGTTTTTTGTGTTAACTGTATTGTTGTCGTTTACTGTTCTTGATATTTGTCCGTTTGATACACAAATTAATTCCATTAATGCCAGTATTATTGCCATTTTGTAGGATTTACATTTATTGAACATCATTGTTATTCTGGAATTCATAAAAAAATTTTTTTATCAAATTAAATTAATAACTATATACCCTCATTCAAACCCAAATTTGTATATGCTGAAAAATCTTTTAGTATACTTCATTAAAAATCGTTATTAAAAATATTTAAAAAAGTTAATGGATTAATTTAAACTGAAATTTTTTGGAGATACTTATTAAAAAGTTCAGAAATCGGATTAAACATAAAAGACTTCTTTGGAAATTAATTCTCCTTAAAAATATATATTACACATTTTCTGATGTTAAATAAATAAAAAGTCTTAAAGTTATATATATATATAAAGCGGCAAAAAATTTTCTTAAATCCTTTAAACTTTGACCTTCTATTTTTTTGAAACGACTAGAGTTATGGAAACAGTAGAAGAAACTTTTTTTGTATAATTTTCTATATAAATAGGGATCGAGTTTTCTGTATCTGGGAGAAAAAATTTTTACAATAATTACGACTTTGTTTAAAAAAATCATATCTCAAACGAAAAGTTATAATCTCAAATGGACAATTATAGTTTATATATATTTATAAAAAAAATTAACTATGAGAAGTAAAAATAATAATCTGAAATATAATTATGAATAACGACTGATTACATTAAAAATTTGCATTAGATTGTACGAGTTGTTAAAAAAAAAAATAATTTTGAGTGACTTAAAGCTGAGAAATGATTCTAACAAAATTTTTGTAGTGACAATAATAATTATATAAAAAGGAATGGATTTTTAATTTTAGTAATAATAGGAATATAGAAGTCAAAAAGTCAACAATTGCAGTCTTTATTGAAATTAATTATGTGTAGTACTAAATCGTAACTGGTTGTAAAAATTAGATTCGAACTCTAATAAATTTCATTCGAAATATTGGTGAAAATTTTATTTGTTTGATAAATTTTGTTTACTATAATTTAATTGTTTTAATTTTATAATTAAAATTTGACGTTTTAAGCCTTACAATAATGACTAAGTGTACTATAAGAAATTACTGTGATATTAAAAAATTATGTCAAATAAAATTTTATTTAGGTGTTAGTGATATTAACATTCCAGTAAGATAAATGCTACCTGAGGAGATGAAAATTATTATTTAGAAGCTCATATTTAGAGAGCATCCTTAAAAAATGCCTATAGTAGCCGATTTTTCAGTATAAAAAATAAAAAATAATTCTTTTTTTTTTTTTCTATTACACTACAATAATTTTTAGATAGTTTTTCCTAGATTAAGTGTAAAAAAACAATAATGAAGACAATACTGTCTCTCCTTTTTATAAATATGTAATTTACATTTTCATTACTTGAATGATATATTACTCAACTGACCGATAAGGTACGAAACCAATTTATCTGTTATTAAAAAATAAAGAGATCAATAAATTTTTTGAAAAAGTGTAGTCTTTATTGAAATCTATTCTTGCCGCTTTTTGAGAAATGAGCTCGATAATTTGAGAGCTGCCAGTAGCAAGAAATTTTGAAAACTTCTGTTTTTTTCTCTTCACATATTTTGCTATGATTTTTAATGAGTAAAATACAAGGAATAACCTTCAGTAGCTTCCGCAAAGACCTTTTATTTATATTGATATTTCTAACTTAATAAAACAACTTGATTGAAAATAATGTTGAATACAAATGAGTTTCACTTTCTAATGTCCACGTGATCGCACGCGCTTCACATGCATTCATATGTTAACTGTAATATTTTTTATTACTTTTGAATGATTAAGGTCTTTCTAGCACCAGCATTATTTCAGAAAAGTAGGTTTGAGAGATATTGAAAATGAAAAAGTAAATATTTATCTTTTTAGATCTGATACGTTCCGGAGCGTTGAATAGATATGTCTTTTTATAACGGTTCATTGGAAGAGGTAATAACTATTATGTAATAACCAAATTTATTTGTCTATTTTCAATCATAATAAATAAAGAACTTAGAGTTGATTTCACCTCGAATGATGCAAAAGATTATTATTCATGCGACAAAACTAATCTCTGCAACATCGACCGGAAGCTACAGTATGATGCTTGTCTCAGATACAAGACAAATTCCAGGATGCTAATTAATCGTCCTACGTGTAAATAACGAGAACGAAATCAGTCTTATGCAGCTAAAAACTTTTTCATTTCATGTGTAAAACAAACCAGTTAATAGTAATAAGTAATAACACGTAATTATATTTATGTAAGCTGATAGTCTTTTATACGATTCGAGCATATAACACATATTATTTTATTGATTATGATCATCATATTACATGGATTGTTCAGATCTATCATTTTTAGTTTCCAAGAAAATTGACTAGCTTACCCTCTAATTCAATGAGCAATATATGATTAAATCATTATAATTAATCATTTTATTTGAATTAAGATTCAAAAAAATTTTTATTGATTTAAGGATGTCATGAAAAGAAAGGGAAAAAATTAAAGAAATACCCAATTAGAATTGTATTTATTTAGAAAAAAAAATTTTTTGATAGCTTTTAAAATAAGAGTTGAGTTCTTTTAACTTACAAACATTCGCTAAGATTGCTAGATTTTATTTTTTATTATAGAACTTATGGGCTTGAGTTCTAACGATATCTTTAACAAGCAATATGATTAAGTGCACACATTTAAAATTAGTTACTAGCTATATGTATTTATATTTTGATTATAACTTTATAATTAATGCAGCCAAGTATGAATTTTTTTTATATTATAATCATCATTAATTTATTAACTTTCACCTTGTAGTTTTGTTTTTAAATATTTGTCGACAATTCCTAGGGAAAAAATGCAAAATTGTGTCAATGTTTAGAGGTAACTCGTTTTATTTCTTCTTTCAAGTTTATGATTTTTACATTTCCGTAGAAAATTTATTTGTTAAATAGTTCTCCAACAGAAAAAATCAATGAAACGTTTTAACAAAAATTTCAAACAAAATTTACGCAAAGTCAACTGTGCAAATTTTTGTCAGCCATTCTTGCAAGTAAAATTTTTTATAACATGATTTTGAATTCTAACATAAGTCCAATAATAATTTTTTGCAGATTATTCAGTTAATTATATAACTAGAAAATGAATAATTAACTAGTAATTATTAAAACTTCGTAACACCTAATTAAAATTATTAAATAAATTGTAATATATAAATAAATATATTAGTATAATTTGTTACTATACATAATTTATGATTTTAAATTATTTTAGTTTATGTAAGAAATTCATGCATTTTTTCACATGTTCAATATTCTGTCTAAAATTTTGCTGTTAATAAAAAAAATATTACTTTCATTAAATTAACGTTGTTTTCATAATGCGTCATTTGTTTTTTAATTTTTTTAAATGAGCAGATTCATTTTTACACACTATTGATATTTACAACTTTTCTACGGAATTACTCACTCCGCACTAAGAACCAAAAATTCGTAAAGTAAAAAAACATAATTAATTTTAAAATCTAATAATCATTTTGCACGACTCATGATGCGAAGCATCAGAGAATGCTTTACGATCGAAAAATTTTTTCAGATTGCTGCAAGAATCACGCAAAGGAATTAATTCGTTGAAGCTAGAAATGTCGATGACGAAAGACTTGAATAATAACGAATAATGAGATTTTCTCATTATTCGTTGAATATCTCGGAAACTACTGATCCGAATGATTTTTAAATGTAATACTGTTAAAGTATTGATGAAATCCTTTCAATGCCTGTTAAAATCATTCAAATTGATTGATTTTTGTAAAAGTTATTTCAACAAATCGATTACGATTATCTCAAATTTTTTTATTTTTTTCATTATAAGAAAAAATATTTTTGCAATACTTTGATAGTCGAATTTTGATGTGTCTCGTGGAGAAAGTGCTAAATTTATTCAGTTTCTGCTCTATATTTCACTTTATCGCATATGTTCGATAAAAATTATATAATTCAATAGTTTTTACTTTGCCGTATACAAAAACAAAGGAATGGCATGTATACAGTGCCCAGTGGCCTATTTAAATTTCTGGGAAAATCACTGACCTGTATAAGACTAGATTTGCTTTTTGGTCGTATAGAAATTAATGACGAAAATATTTGAGATGATAGAAACGCCACTTTACACATTAACAACTCCATCGAGACAACTCGTTCTGGAGTGTAATCTTACAACTAACAACGTAATTCTATTCATCAATATTGAAAGGAATACTTGTGCACCTCATAGTTTTCTATTTCTCTCAAATTAAATATTCGAAGTAGGCTTGAAAAAATTATCTATCCTACTTGCAGAGAAAGGGCGGAATCAGAAACTTAACAATCTATTTCACAATATTCAGTTTTAAGATTATGTTACATTGGAATGATAACTCTGATTGATCTCATCTTTCTAACTCGACAGATTATAAAAAAATTGCATTCTTCTGTGAAGAAAAAATTTTTTACCAAATTAAAATAAATCATGTGTTAAAATAGAACAAGTTTTAATTTTACATGAAAATAAAAAATTGTTCTTTGTGTAACATGGCCATAATCATTTTTAAGTTAACTTCGTTAAGCAGGTTATTGAAAATACTGATGAAAATTTTGCGCTATTTCGATTGATCCAATGAGATCAAATAATAATTTGAATTGCAGTTGAGAAGAAATGATAAAAAGAATATTCGAAATAATAATATTTCTCTTCCCTCAATCATTGAAGAAGAGTAGAATGCGGAAATTTATATATTCGCAGAATTTCGACAATGACCAAAAAAGTCCGGAATTAATTCGGTCAGTGATCATGATCAAGTTCAAGAAGCTAGATTCACAAGTTTTAGGCTTACACATGCTATGAATATACCAGTTAACATAATTAATTTAATTTTTATTGAAATAAGATATTTATCCACTTCCTACGTATAATAACCGGTTTGCTCTAGTGAAACTTTACTTATAAATTCTGATTTTCTAAAAGTTTCGATTTCAACAAAAAAAAAAATGTTATTTTGAAATAACTTCCAGATGTTTTATTAATCATCAAATTAGACACCGAGCAGCCTAAACCAAATTGTAATCGAACAATTAGTTTCAAAGATGTATTATCTAAAAAATAACGAAAGAATTTTTCACCAATTTTTTCAGATCAATGAGTTGAATAACTTACTTTGGTATATTTTCTGACGCTTTAAATCCGAAAATAGCGAAAAGTATTATGAATGGTCTAAAGAGTAAATTTTTTTTACATGATTATAAAGAACAATTTTTTCCATCAATTGTAAATAATAATTTTTTCTAATTATAAATTAAAATTTATTTGCATAAATGTTTTTATAATGCGAGCGTTTTGGATTTTCTTACTTTTTTTTTATAACTTTTCTTATTATTATTTATAAAAAATATAAAATCAAATTGGATTTGTACATATTTTTCATGCAGTGAACAAAATGAATAATAAGTAATAGATAATCTTTTAAACGCATCGTAAAATAGTCTTTTACGTCATTGGTGACTTCGTAATGGAGTGAAAGTAAAAAGCATCTCATCATCCGAGTGTACACAAATTATCTTATTTTCTTTTTACAATAAACGACAGTAAACGCTCAACAAAAATTCACTTTTACGACTTTTAAATTGGATCATTCAAAAGTCAACTTATATTTATCATACTTTTTTTTTATTAAAAAACTCAACTAAAAGTGAATAATGCTGTTTAGCATCTTGTAAACATAAGAGCAAATAGAAACTCAATAAATCCATACGACGAAGAAATAGGGAAAGCGATATATCATCGGCTTAAAAACTGGTTGAAGGCTTTGACAACAAGGGAAAGTGGCAATAGCCTCGTCTTCCTTTTCTTAATCATAATATATACACACACATAAACGTGAATCATACACTTTTTGCTTAACAACTCACATGCATACATAGACACAGTCACACTCAGGCACGTTACAACAACCATTGATGACATTTTTATGTGGTTATAAATAGCGAATCATTTCGTAATCGCGTACCGTCAATTTTACCAATCCGGATGTTAACTTTCACAAAATATCGGTAATCCTGGATTCATACCGACATTTTTTCCAACTTATCTGTTATTATTAGACATAATGATAATAACTTTTATTTCTTAACAGATTAGCTTGTTTCTTGTTCTTACGTAACTCAGGTACATAAATTGATGGTCAATTTTACTATTATTAACAGATAAATGCATCAGCTATACGAAAAAACTACTGATGTTTAAATGATACTATTAATAATATCAAAATTAAAGCTTAAGTGCAGTGTGACTTTACAATCGGTTTAGCATTGATAAAAAGTTGGGAAAGTCCAATAAAAAGCATATGCTTCATAAAGATTATTCATGAGAAAATAAAAATAATGGTATAAATAATATAAAAAAAAAAAAAAAAATTAACAGAAGAAATGTTATTTGAAAATATCAAATGTGATAATAAAAATATTTTCTTAGATATATCGAAATAGTACAAGGTCAGAAAACAGTTTTCCTTAGAATCAAAACGTTAAATTCATCACTAATTTAAAAACTGATGGACTACTTAAAGAAATTAATTAAAAAAAAAAATTCTACTGTTTTTTAAACTTTTATTTTTTCATAATATAAGAAAAAAAGTTTTTTTTTAACCACTTTATCATACAGATATTCAGATTCCCCTATAAATGCAAAATGAACTCTATAAACATAATTTAGGCCCAGGAAAGTGCTTGACCTTGACAAATTGAGAGCAGAGTACAATCTTAGGCACTTCGTATTTTAAGACGGGCATTATATTAGCACAGTTTTTATAAGGCATCCCATATCAAATCAACCACTTTCTTTAGGTCACTCTCTTCTATTTAAAACCAAAATATGACTTTTTTCGATTTTGCTTTCATCATTTCTACTTCTATATAATCTTATACGAACTTGATGACACTTTTTTCACAAGTTTCCTTACTTTTCGTGAGACATTTTTCTGTAATAATTCGCTTTAATATTAGTCATCAATTTATCCTTAACCAAATATTAATTCAATTATATATTTCAACAACATAAAAATATAATTCTTAATCACATATCTCTTGCACTTAAATAAAATAAAACAATTCCACACATTATTTATAATCAAAAGCAATAATGACCTTGAATAAGTGAGATATGTTTAGTAGGTCATTAACTCATGCTTATCACTGAAATGAGCTATTTTCATAATAACAATAATCATCCATCATTAGTGAACTATAATAAACTATAAACATTCTTATTTGCATAGAAATATAAGAAATTAACTGGTAATACTAGTCAGCAAGAAACAAGAAGTGAAAGTGCATGTGTTTTTGTATCAAGAAACAAGGATTGAAGTTCACGTTCACGTTCACGCTGCCGTGATTCAGTTTATACATTTACCTAATTACAATATTATAATCGCGCTTTATATTAATCCCACTTCCTTCAATTTATACATCAATTTCCAAGCCTGTCCAAACTACACCATTTCCGCGGTTCAATAAAACTCCATAAATTTATCATTTAACACATCTAAAATCTAACAGACATGCGAACTTTCACCTGAACGTCTTAGTCTCTCAGGAGATGCATCACTCGAAAGTCAATCTATCTTTCTCTTTTCTATCGATACAAATAAGTGTTTATTTTAATAAAATGAACGTGAAAGTAGACCTCAAAATTTCAACAAAATAAACAAAAACATCAACACTAAATGTGATGTGGAATTTTTTTGGTAAAAAACTCCACTATCACAAAGGGACTTTAATGTCATGAAAGAGAAATTTTATTTATATTTTTTTGCCGACGATCGGCAGCGCTTTCGATTTCTTTCCATCTGGGGGATTACACGTTTGTTTAATTTATGCCGAAAGAAATCTTTTATGACTCGCTACTTGATTGCCGGATAAATTGTACATTTAAAAAAAAAAAGTATCGTACGTTGTTGATGTAGTCCCTTCTCTCCGGTTATTATTTATACATCGTGTTTTCCTTTTTTTCATTGGTGGCCTTGAAACAATGCTCTTTATGCTCTAATTAATTTTATCTTTTTTCATCTAAGTACATCGAATAACTTTCCATTGTGTAACGGATATTTATTTTTTTTTTTCGAGTAAATTAATAAATAAAATAAATTTTGACAAGTGAGACAATAACTGTTAGCTACTTACTTTGTTTCGTTAATTTTAAAAACACAAGTTCTGTCCAAAATAATTTTCTCAAATTAATTAGAAACTATTATTTACATCCAATTACATTTCGCGTGAAATTAATTAATGTAAACAGAAAACCAATTATTCACTTCCATGATAAACTTTTTTCTTCATAATTTTAACAAAATAAATTAATTAAATTTTTCAATCCTATTAAACTTCACAGGCATTTTTCACTTTGAATTTATTGAATTAATTTTCGTACAATAGATCACTGAGAACACCAGTCACAATCATTGGCTTCGCCTCTACTCGTTTTTTTTTTTTGAAAAATATTTTTTTTTAATTTAGCGTTGAGGCGAAGCCAGATTAGTTTTTGAATAATTAGAAAAAAAAAAAACGATCAAAATATTTTCAAGAAATTAATAAATCTTAACCGATGAGATACAAATGGACTCGGTTGTACTTAACGTGCTAGTGGCTTAACCAGCAGTATCCACCACAACACGATATACAACCAAACGTTACAAGACAACACGGACTAGCTCTCACTTTCTCCGGCGAAGTAGTTTCATTTTGGTTGGTATAAACTCTCTCGTGACTCTCTTCTCCCACTATTATGGTTATATTTATTCGAACAATAACAACAATTATTATTTTTGTACTTCTACCGTCGAATATTCATCCATCGGATGGTCAATAAATGAGACAAAAAAGACGTAACATAATTAATGTCTATTGAAAAAAAAAAAATTGTCAATAAATTTAAATAAATAATTAAGTGAATAGCTTATTACCGCTTTTATTTTAATTACAGTGAACAATAACGATACATAATAACTATTTTATTTAGCATGAGAATTATTGTGCAATTGTGTGATAAATATGAGCCTTTTGTTGAATTGCGTGTCAATTATGCGACCAAATACGGAATTATTTTCTCCGGAATAAAAAAGTTGGCATATTTTAAAAATTTCGAATTCTTTGTTGTTTTAAATGTCACTTTTGTATGACCTTTGTTATATTTTTGATTGTTATCACAGAACAATGTTTCTTAAGAATGATCTTATTGTGCTCCCTAACGAGAGCGTGAAGGAAAAAAATACTTTCAGAAAAAATTTTTCGGTAGATTTAATAATTTTGCTGATTTAATTTTTTATACTTTATATGGTTACTTATTGAATAATCGAGTCTTTGAAATTGTGCAAGCGGAAACTAGACAAAGATTATTCTGTTTATTATTTATAGTAGAATAAAAGATTAGTGATTATTGTCAAAGAGATACAGAATTCGTTTCGTACAGCTGGATACTTCAAGACGTTTAAAAAGTTATTTTTTCGCAATTTTGTCTCTTGGTTATTTTGTTCCGCACTTGTAAATTTTACCTCGTAATATTTCACAATTGTAATCACTAACTGTAACGCGAGTAAGGACTTTGTTGTAAATGAATTACGATTTTTTTTTCGGTTTAAAAAAATTGTTGGCTCAACCTTTAATATTATACACCAGTTAAGGTGTTGAGATTTTTTAATAATATTTGTAAATTCCTTTAATTGTATTATATTGACGGGTAACTCTTGAACAAAGTATCTCTGAAGGTTGAGAGAAGACGTGAAATTTTTTTTCTCCAAAAAGTTAACAAAGACGTTTTATTTTTTAATTAAATTTTATCAAAAAAAATTTTTATTTTTTCTCTAACGGCTTCGCAAGTATTATGAAAAGGGATAGATATTTATTTTTTCTGTCAAATTTGTTATCAATATATTTTCGTTTTTTTTTTTCTATCATATTTATATATTATTTTATTATTTATCCCATCAAATAGTGCCATGAAAGAATAAAAAAATGATTACAAAAACAAATTTTGAGATTAACTATTGATAATATAAAAAATTCAAACAATTTCTTTCAATATTTTTCTACAAATCTATTTTTCTTCTATTTTCATTATTTTATTAATGATAAAATAAATTTTTAAAACATACCTTGTAGGATATTCAAATCGCTTTGATTCACAATCTTTCTCCAACTACATGAACATTAGCTTAAACATAACACATTTTGAAAACCCTACTTAAAAAGTTAAATTTTACAAGTATGCACAGGAAAATAGAGATAAATGTTAATATATACTATACCTTATTTTTTAAATAATTCATTGCCCTCAATTTGCTTAAAATAATAATTAACGTTGTCCATCAGTGAATTTCGGAAACTTACCCAATGAAACAATATTTACTTGATAAAAATGCAGTATCGAAAGATTTTTTAAAAAATGTTGGTTATTTACAGTTCATTTTTATTTTAATAGAATACAATAGACACTTTATTAATATTAAAAATACAATTGTCTCAATGAATACACGATAATAATAAAAATACATGAGAATAATATAAAATAATTTGATAGTTTCCATATAAGTAGAAGAGGGGTGGGCAAAATGGGGTACACCAAAAATGAAGTAAAAAAATTTATCGATTTAAAAAATTTCTACGCGTGAAAAGTCACTTTTATCGATTTTAATACCATTCTCAACTCTAAAATTTGTTTTAATTACATGAAATGTAGTTAAAAAAAAATTTACTAGATTCAAGTCTTCGAAAGCACCCCATTTTACGTCTCCTTCCGATATCTTTTATAGATTAATAAATATTTGACATGAATAAAAATAATTATTATAATAAATCAGAAATTAACTTCAACTCTTGATTACTAAAATACTCAAAAATTTCCCGCATAACTTCCGGATCTAATAACAAACTTTGAGCAGTATCAACAATAAAATCGTCTACTTTGACTAAGAATTCTGCTCTTTCTAACGCTTTTACAAGCCGAAACTCAACTATACTTCCATAATGATTAAGCCTAGATAAAATTTCTGACGGAATACATGGTTTCTCAAAATTACAAAATCTATTTCGAAACAAATACTTGAATCTCAAAGCTGATTTATGAATTGATCTTCTCAACAAATCATAACAAGTTATTCTAACATCAAAAGCAATCGACGCTTCATCAAGCTTCATCAAATTGACTTCTTCAGCATACTGACGATAAATTAAATTATAACTCTTGTGAGCAACAGCCGCTTTTTTATTTTTTGAACATACGTACAAGTTTGCGGCTATTAATTTGATAATGTGGTTTTGAACAATCTCAACAAAATCACGTTTATGATTGTATTGTTCCAGATAATCAGCGGCAACTTTTTTATTCTCATCTTCCATGTTGACATCATAACCAGCCATCAGTAGATACTTAACAGTAGCTAATTTGGTTGTATAATGCGCCATCATAATTTGTAGGCAGCTCATGTTATTATAAATACAACTGACTTCAGCTTGGTTATCAATTAGAAACTCAATGATTCCACAACTACCAGCTTTCAAAGCGTGAAAAAACAGTGTTCGATTGTCATAAAACTCATTTACATGGACTCTATCTTTGGCTATCAAATACGAAACTATTTCTAAGTTATCATATTGAATACCTACATGAAGTATTTCAGTAGCAATTAAAGTAGCATCTTGCTCCATGATCAATCTTGCCACTGAATTGTAATGTCTATAAACAGCTAATCTTAATAGTATTTTTCTATCTAATTGGCCCCAATCTACATTCTTATAATCAAAATTCTCTGCCAAACGTTCAACTAATTTCAATGGATTTTTGACTCTTAAATATGATGGTGATCTTTTGAGATCAATAGAATTCACATCAGTATTTTGTTTGACAAGCTTCTGACTGCTTGCAACATGTAATGATCAGCGGCCTCAGGAATAAACGATCTTTTGTCACTGGTAGAATTTTTTTCTAACAAGTATTGAGCAATTTCAAACGGGTTTCTACAAGCGGCCACACCAAGTAGAATTTCACGGTCACAAATAGAAGTCAGATCAGCACCATTCTCTATCAAAAATTTCACCAGTTCCAGACTTTTGCTATTTATAGCTAATTGTAACAGCGCTATACCATTAGAAATAAGATTTACATTAGCGCCTCTGTGAACCAAATCTCGAACTGATTTTAAGTTTTTGTGGATGATTGCTAAATTTAGTGAAGTTTTGTTGTCGCAAATGGCATCAATGTCAGCACCATTCCTTAACAACAATTTAACTATCTTGTTGTTATTATTACGAAGAGCTAAATGCAACGGTGTTTTATTGTCACAAATAGAATTCACATTAACACGCTTGTTTAATAAAAGCTTTACTATTTTCAGATTATTATTGTTAATTGCTAAATGCAATGGTGATTGATTGTTATCAACGAAGTTTAAACTAGCGCCCTTAGATAGCAATAGTTTTAGTAATTTTATATTATTGCGCTCCACTGCTAAATATATAGGAGTTTTATTTTCAGAAACAAAATTAACATTAGCGCCTTTTTGTATTAAATATTTAGCAATTTCACTTTTATTTTCATCAGTCTCTTCATGATCTAAGGAAATGGCTAGATGCAACGGTGTTTTATTTTCAAAAACAGCGTTGACGTAAGCACCTCTATCTACCAGACATTTGATAATATTCAAATTTCGAAGACGCACAGCAAGATGTAATGGTGATTCAATGGCACAATTAATACAAACAGGATTTGTATTAGCACCTTTATCCAATAGATATTTAATAATTTCATCGTTTTCTTCTGAAATAGCTATGTACAATGGAGTTTTTTACTAACAATAGCATTGATGTTGGCATTTTTATCTACTAAATATTTGACAAAATCAAAACTACTATAAGTAATTGCTAAATGCAAAGGCATTTTGCCACCGAAGCTATAATTAATATCTGCTCCTTTGTCTAACAGATATTTTGATAGTTCAATGTTATCGATTTTAATAGCTAAACATAACACTGTAATTTCACCGTCCAATATAGTATTTAAAGAAACTCCTCTATTTATTAGAATCTCAACCTGTTCTATGTTACGGGATACTACAGCGTTGTATAGTAATCTTCTGTTTACCTCAGTCGCATTTTCATTTCCTTGTTTTGAATCCATTATGTTTTTTTTTTCTTTTATCGGCCTTGTCACAATCGATCCGCTTAGAAAAAAAAAATTATTCATTAATTACAATTTCTATTAAATAATAATCTAAATTATTTTAGACTTTCATTTTTGATGAAAAGATTTCAATGATCTTTAAATTTTTTTAATTT